TTGACCAAACATTAAAATAAATGTTAATGTTGCTGTGTTTTTGTTAAAAAGTTGGCGTTATGTCAACGGTCTTATGACACAAATCGTACTGGTGACATAACCATCGGCGCTTCAAGCTCAATGAAACATGTCCATGAGAACCACACATACATTCACACATAATCACACAACAGTTTCAGTTCATCTACATGACAAGGACCTCCAGATACACCCATTCAAAGTAGTTTATGACAGGACAGAAAAGCTGGGTTACAGCCTCGCCCTCTACTCATGTATTGTAACCGTACACCCTCCAAAACTCTCTAGTTCAGTAGTTTCAATGAGCCCATATATGAAAAGGAAGACCACACTGGGCAGGTGTTGCAGGAATGGGACACAAGGGTCCTTTTAGGTTCCAATCCACCAAGGAATTTATTATAGATTTACCGATTAAAACTTCTGAGAGGTCCACTTAACGTTCCCCTGGAGCACGACAGGAGGGAGCAAGTATGCCACTTATATGTCAAACAAGCTGGTGGCTGTTCACTCTGCAAGGTCACAGGATCTCACTGTAGAGGGGCTGCAGGGGAGAGTGAGAGGCCCAGCGTAAACCGTAGCCAGAGGATTTGAGCCATGACTGTAGGAAGGGTCTGGGGCTGAGTCATAATGACTCAGGGTGCCAGTCGAACCCAGAAACCTCATGTGTCATTACAGCTCTTTTAGAAAGTGTTGATGTCGTATGTATGGCTGGCTTAGACTTTGTTACTTTATCCATGCTATCACCAGTGTTAACATGTGGATGTTTACCATTTTTACCATCGTAGTTTAGCTTGTTAGCAGTTAGTAGTTAACAGTTGCTAATTGACGCTAAATATGAAGCACAGCAGAATGTCATGGGTTTTGCTGGTATTCGATAGTAAACCAAAGTATTAGACAAACTGAAATATGTTAATCTCATAGAGGTGCCAGAAGAAAAATCAGGTGGTCACCCAAGTTATCAGGGCATATCCTCTTGGGACCTTGAATGCTGGTGGGAAATTTTATTTAATGGCAATCCATTAAATAGTTGTTGAGACATCTCAGCCTTGGGCAAAGTGATGGACTGACAGACCAACACTGCCATCCCTAGACCCATGCTGCTAGTGTGGCTAAAAAAAGTTGATCAATCCCAAGTATTTGTGACAGGTGAAGGGCTCATCCTCCAACACTTGTCCAATCAGATCTCATCTGTCTTGCACCGCCTCATGAAAACAAGTGAGAAGACATTCATGTTTACCTCAGATAGCAGCAATTTATATGTCAATGTATATGATGTACTGAGAGAGAAAGATTTGCCACTCACTAGGTGGCCAAGCATCTACTTGTATTTACACCCTCTCCACATTAATTCACAGACTACAAAAATACAGAACCATACAAGCATACCTAACCCTCTAGGCTGTCTGAACTCACTGAACCCTTTAACGTTTAAGCAGGACTGCTTACAGCCAGAAGAAGAAGGAGGGGACTCATGTATCATTGTGTTGCTATTCTGCCGCTGTGATGACTCTGGGGGTTCTACAAGACAGAAAGAAGAGGACTGCAGGAGACCTGACAGTGTCAAAACACATTATTATAGTCCCCGCAAGGAAAACAGCAACTGGACCAGACCTCACAGAGAGACAGAGAAAACACAGACTGAGAGAGGAGAAAGGCTAAAGAGAAAAGGACAGGGACAGAGGAAAATAGAGGCCATAAAAACAGAAGAGGACAACATGAATAAAGCAAAAAATATGTTCAATGTTTTTGTAAAGTAGACCTGGGAATCAGTTATGATCTCCTGTAAGATGAGTTACTCTTTCTGTTGGACTCCTCTGACCATTTCCAAACTGTTTCTACAATGGTCCAAACAAATGAAGAGTGCAAAGTGAGAAACAAAAGCATTTGAGTCCCTCTGGATGGCAGTAATGGAAAAGAGTAATCACCTCTGTCGATTATTTCTTCAATATGTCGTACAGCTGTCTGTTTCAAAAGAATATCATTGTGTTGTGCCTGTTAATCGTTTTGGTTCATTTTCTGAAAAGTTTTGCTTTGTTCACACCTCTTTGTCTTGTATCTCGCGTTTTTTTGTCGTATTTTGGCTGCTTGGGTTAAAAATAACAGATGACCTCATCTGTTCTGAGTTTGAAACAGGCCATTCATTAGCGTATGTGTTGCTTAGCCTCCACACTAAATGCTCCATATTTCCGCTGTTTAGGAGATGTATGAACGGCTTTGAAACTCTTTCAACTGTCAGTATGCATTGCCATTATACCCATCTCACCCACCCCCCACTCCTCACCCCCACCCCTTGGCCTGGATCTGAAAAGTATGGCTCAGTCCAGCACCCTGTGCTCATAGATAAGCTATGCAAGGGTGATAACCACCACTGTTCACTTGGAGAAAAATCCCTGAGTGCACCCATGGTGACTTGTAATCAGGTGTGCCGCACGCTGTCCACTCGACATGCACTCAGCTCATTCTATCACACTCCAAATTCAGCCCCGTGTCACCGTCAGTCTCACACTGCCTGCTGCCAGCTAGTTCACCTCCAAACCGTCATTCACACCTGTCTGCATCCCAGAAACACCACCTCACCACCAGCCTGACACCTCCGCAGCAGCAGGGTGTAAATCAGCCGGCTGCCTGTGCTGCGGAGACACGAGCAGCAACAGGAATGGGTGACAGAGAGAGGTCATCTAATCTGTGGGACAGATCCCACAGTGTGACACACCCACCCCTACACCCCCTCCAACTCCCACCATCTGATGAGGCTGAGGATGACTGGTGGACCAGCTGAAGCTGTATCCACAAGCCGGGATCACAATCATCATGGCAGGGACTACAGTGTAGGAGAGAGGGAAGCTGGCGCCCTTATTGCTGTATTTTCCCAGAGATCTGTGACTCAGAACATCATTAGCACACACACACTACAGTTATTAAGGCCCTGCAAAGCGCTTTTCACTGCCCCACCTTTTCCTTCTGTTTGCTCCATTCAGAGACTCAGGAAAAGTCACCAACACCCAGGCACATGGCATAGCAGATTGTGCTCTGGTTTTAGAGAACATGGCAACAACACTAATCTAATTAGTTTTGTTTGGACCTAATTTTGCACTTATTTGAAATTACACACAAAGCCAAAATGATGGATAATCTAACTCTGGTGTTTGATGTCCCATTTAACAATTGGGATGTTTTCCAAATACTACAATCATGCAACGTTTGACACAGGGCATATGCTCAGAGTGAGTCTAATGAGGGTGTATTCTAGTTTGGTGCCAGTCATTGTATTGTTTATTGCTGCCCCTGAGAGGAAGAAAGGCCTCTTTTATGATCCCCTTTACCGTTTACACATCTAATTACTGGTATAGATAGATAGAAAGAAAACCAGAAGGTGCTGTGCTGACTTTTCATCTGGCCAGAAACAAACCCCTGTTCCACGACAGCAGTACGAGGGCCCTCTGAGAGTAGCCAGCTGGCCCCATTTGAAAGCCCATCGCTCAGGCAAATAGGTCAGTGCTGCTGGGCCACAGTCTCTGCAAGTGAATGGAAACCGAGGCTCTCCAAGGTCCTGGTCTGATCTGTCGTCAACCAGCAGTGGGTGTCCGGCCAGCGGTCAGCGGGTCGACCCATTTGACAAGAGCTTTAAGGAGGGGATGGAGCGAGGGAGGGCGGAGGGAGAGCAGGAGGACAAGAGCCGAGTTGTGTTGCAAGGGCTGATTATGCGTGCTGCAGGGCTGGTTTCCTGGATGTTGTGTTTGTGTTGGAGCGGGTGGCTCCAGGCAGATGTTGCAAATGAAGGAGGTGCTGTTGTATGTTGACATTGTGGGGGAAATCATCCCAGATGACATCTGATTGGTGTTTGAAGAGGAAATGATTCCAATGACATTGGACCATCATCACACTTTATATCTCTGTATTTATTGCTTTCCAGTAATTCTTATTAGTTGCTCAGATTCGGCCTCAGTTCACCTTCATGTAAAGCAGACTGAGACTATTACCATCACACTTGACTGGTTCTGAAAACTAAATGATCCATCGCCTGGGAAAAACTGTCTGCTTTGTTCTTGCTCACTTGTGCAGCAGGGAAAAGGGAGCAAACATTTTTTTAAGCTATTGTTTCCTCTGGATTTTTAGTGCCAATGGCACTGTCACACTCAGCCTCCAGCTGTGCCCTCTGTGCCCCCCCCCACACACACACACACAGACACACACACACACACCATCCATCTGCCAATGTAAGCACACAAACACTGCTCCAACAAACATCAGATGACCTTTTACCTTCCCTGAGCCACCTGCATACACAAATCTAACACCTACAAACACAAGTAAACACACACTCATGCACACACACAAAAGGTTAGGCTGTGGAGTGATATGTGGCCTCAATAATGCCTGATATGTATGATTATGAGGCTTTGACAGACTTAATGTCTGTATTGTTGAACTGAGATAGAGCACAATTAGTATAGTGGTGACAAGAGCCTTGCTGTGAATGCACTCTGTGACGTAAAATATACATTACTAATCCATTCTGATCCCACTGCTGTCGGTTTATTTATTTTTATTAGGTAACGTCAGAGGGGTCCAACCACGTTTACTGCTGGCATATGATTTAGATTCATAATTTATAAAATGGTTTGACCTGGATTCATGTCGAACTTTACAAGTGATTTTAAGTATTTTAACAATTACATCCGTTTTTAAATCGGTAAATTGCTCTTAAAGACCTGCAGTATTTCTCCAAATTACAGAATAGGCTACGAAACGGAAATAAACGGGAACTTGCATTTAAGACATTCAAAGTTGCATCATTGCGCAACCCGGAGACGAGTTGCCAGTTTAGATAAATCAGTTCAAATCCTCCCTCCTTTCGCTTCTTGTGACTGGTCGGTTCCTGTGTCAGTCAGGGGGGAGGGGAGGGGTGCACCGCTAATTTCTATATGCCTGTATGTCAAATTAGGGCTCAGATTGCCGTTCTCGTGTGTGGCTGTCAGCAGCAGCAGCAGCAGCAGCAGAAGCAGAAGCAGAAGCAGTGAGCCTCAGTGGACGTTTCTGGGATTTCTGCGTGTGTTTGAATTAGATGAGACGCTCGGGACCTGCGTCTACCTGCGTACACCGAACCACTGCCTTTGGATATTTTGCTGCCACTTAAGACGCATCCGCACACTTCAGACTCGTGGTATTTCTGCTTCTGAAGCGAGCTGCTGTGTCATAAACAGCACGCCCGAGGGAAGACTCATCACCAAACTTTTAAAAGGGAGACTTCGCAACTTTGGCAACATCTACTAGCTGGTGAACATCGCTGTGAGTTCATGTGGTGTACCGTTTGACAGAAGCGGAACATTTCTCTGGGAAAACTTCACAGAAGGCTTTTGAAACATGTTCAGCAAGTGCTCCGTTGTGATATTGAACGTCCTCTTTCTGGTGCGGGCGCTCTCGGCTCACGAGTGCACGCCGTGTAATCTCCGGACTTGTCCAGTCAAAGCCCCGCACGGCTGCGAGGGTGGCCGGACCTTGGCCAGGGACCCGTGCGGATGCTGTGACCAGTGCGCCCGGCTGGAGTGGGAGCCCTGCGGCGGACAAGACTGGACGCACGGCTACTGCGCCCTGGGGCTGACCTGCGCCTCTGTAAACAAAACCGGAGCTGCCACTATACCTGAAATTGGAGTGTGTAAAGGTGGGTGAGAGTGTGTCGTGATGTTACATTGTTTTTCCTTTTTTTTTTTTTTTTAATCAAATCAGAAGTAGTGTCGTAGTGAAAGAGAAAACATTTTTAATGCTGTTGTTGAGTGTGCAACAAAACAACTATAGGCATCCCGTTCCTTAAAGTGGCTTGAGGGCATCATTATTCAAACGTCAGTCCAGCCCTGACTGCAGTGACTGTGTCACTGTTTACCTTGTCTCTGGCTGCCTGGAGCAGCTCCCCCAGGTCTGAGGGGCTCTTGACTGCCAGGAGAGGAGTCATGTTCAGCTGCTCTTTCTTCCCCTCAAAGCTTCATTCACTCTCAGCTCAGAGGCATGACAATAGGTTTGGCAGCAGTGATTTGGCACCAGGTTACACTTCAGCTCTAGTAGGTCCTGTGCTTTTTGTTTTGGAACTCAAAGAGACATTTATAAGGCGGCAGTGAATTGGGGTAATAATCTGTGTGTGTGTGTGTGTGTGTGTGTGTGTGTGTGTGTGTGCGCCCATGGCGTGACCAACAATGATGATTGCGTTTTTAAACTTGGAATACACTGTAATTTAATAAATACGCTGCCCTTTTGTTCTCTGTATTGTTTGTGTGTGTGTCAGAGCTGTAATGGTTTGACAGCATGATTACAATAGTCCCCAGCAGATTCTCCTGTGGCTCCACAGCGCTGTGCTTCTTCTCTTCCTGCCAAGCTGAGCTGGGCTGTTGTGCTGTGGATGTGCTCATTTTACGCACAATTTGAGCAACTTTCTGAACTTCAAAGAGATGCGCGGGGTGTCAGGTTCTGCACGGTGAATGAAGTAAGTAGCAATGGCCTTCCCCTGAGGAACAAATAACCGGGGGGAGAACCCCCGCCCCCTCCACCTGCACTCTGTCCAGCCTGTTTCGGGATGATTGAGGAGGACTGACGGGACTGAAGGAGAGAGTAAGCAGTTCTCAGTGGGTGTCTGGGATCCCCTGACCCTGCCCTCCCATCATCTAACTGTGGGGTGGTCCTAGCTCCACAAGGGTTTACCAGGGGTCTCCAGCCCCGGGCCATCCCAGGAGACGCTGCTGCTGATTGTGCCCCGAGTACAGGTTAGGCTGGCGTCTGGAGGACATCTCTGCAAATTAACAGCTTTGGAGCGAGTGGGAGGCCTAATGGCTCCTCTGATTGAGTCGTGCCTCTGGTCCTGTGACTCCAGGGGCCTCGGAACATGCTGCTGACCCCTAAATCAGACACATACACATGCAACCTTAATATCCCATAGGGTCTGGGTTGGGGGTAAATCAACACCTCCCGGTATGTTTTCAGGGGCCACAGTAGGCAGGCTGCTGCAGGCTGATCCCAGATTTCCCTCCTGTAGCTGCAAGGGTCTTAAAGTGATTAGACTCGCAATCAGGAGTAGGGGGTAAATGTTTCCGCTTTCTGATCCCCTGCCTCTGCTCCCAGTTTTGATTTTCTGGGTGGTCAGAATCCTTTAGAGTGGGGATGCAGCAACCTCAAAACACCTTGGTAATGAGTCAGCAGTTGGTTTTCATCCTGTTATTGTTCACTGGCTTGACAAGATTGAAAAACGTATCGGAAACAACAATTATAACCACTCGGGGCTCCTCCTGCCAAGGGGAATCTGCAGTAGTCATTGCACGTTGAGTTTTCTAGACATGGAAATGTTATGTAAGAAACCGATATCAAAAAGGAATTGGAAATGAACCGTTACCCCTGTTTTGTTTTGTTTTGTTTTGTTTTGTTAACTGTGGAAGTATTTAATTCCAAGTTTTGTTTCCAGTAATTTAAATGCTTTTGAAAGTAAGTAACCAAAAATAAATGTATGAGCCACCAAGCTTGCCAAAACCAATACCTGGGATACTCAAATCAAATTTTCTCATGAAGGGAGTTTGGCATTTAAATTCAGAAACTGACAAAAATACATTAAAAAAAGTGAATGAAATGTAGCAGTTTCAGGTTGCAAGTTGTGTCTGTTTCTTTTTGCGACTGTCTCATGAGTCATCCAGGCACCTGTTTTCAGAGAGAGACCTTGGCCATTCACCTTATCGTATCCACTTCAGCGATCACCCTGTCAGTCAGCTGAAATCATTCAGTCTTCGCAGCTAACTGATTTGTTTTGATGTTCTCATTGTATTTCTGTGACTGGCCTCCCACACCACGTTTCCCTCCGAGCTCCAGAGGCACTTAACATACCACGTAACAAGAGTGTCTGTCTTACAGGGACGCTATGTCCAGTGCGCTCCTTCACATGCCTTCTACTTCCCCCTTCCTCTGGTATTATCTAATGTTTCAAAGACTTCCTTTTTAGCTCGCTATCAGCCAGAGGGCCTCTAGAGGTCAGCTTTCCCATCCTGGCTCTGGATGCCAAGACAAGCAGTCTCAGTGGCTGAGAGAGGAATCCCCCCTGGGATGAAGCCACAGACCTTGGCTAGAGTCATGCCAGGCCAGATAATAGATAACCAGGTTAGACCAGATCAGACCTGGGTCAGGCTAAAGGGTACCAGGCTGAGACAGACCAGCTCAGAACAAACAGGGCCCACTGGGGTCAAGCTAAAATTAGTGAATGAGACAATGTTTTCAGTGTCCAGCCTTTCATTAATTGTTTTGACTCCTGCCTCCCTCTCTATGTGCCAGATTTAGCACCCCACACAGACTGCCTTCATCTCAAATGAAAATACCCTCCCAGGCACAGGAAAGCCTCAGGATGGAAAAAAAGAAAAAAAAAATGTGGAGGTGAGGATCATTTTAAGGTGAGAGGAAATCACAGGGAAAGTTTTGGTGCAGTTTATTGAAAAGGCTGCTTGTACTTAGCCGGTCTCGCCGGCTGTCTGGGGGAGAGCTATTAACAGCACAGGCTGGCTCAGGTTAAAGGTAGAATTCCCTTCACTTCTTTCATTGGCTGCTGTTTACCATATGACTGGTTAGCACCCTGCATCACCCAGGAGTCATCCACGTTATCAAACCCCCCCCCCGAGTTGGGGAAAATGTTTTCCGAGGATGCTTGCCCTCGCAGTCACACGGATTCACTTCAGCGGTGATATTTATTACAGTAAGCGTCTGGCTTTTTCCCCTAGCGGAATATCTGTTTTAAATTAACATGGAACAACAAGTGATTTATTATGATTTACAGCGTTTAAAAGCAATTCTTTCCGATCACTTTGGTTCATCCTGTTACTGCCCCCCCCCCCGGCAGTAGTCAGGTAAATATACCATGAGGTGTTCGTGTTTATCTTGGAGAGTTAAACCTTTTCCTCTTGTGCATTGTTCTGGTGCGTAGCTGTTTGGAGAAGAAAGCCAGAGTATTATGATAAGCTCCAATCACGCTTCCACACTGTTGATTTGAGGCCTGGGATCTAAATGCTTGGGAAGGGGTTACTCTGTGTTACAGTTGGTCTCATCCTGTTTACTCTGCTGCCACTCTTACTGCTCTTGAACGGCTATGAAGGAGGGTAATTTTGGGGGGGTATATGTGTGTTTATTTATGCTTGAATGTGAAAGGAATACTATGGGTGATGTGTACGTTGGGGCCCTTTTTAATCCCAGAGTTTTTTTGGTGGTGGTCCAGCTCACATGGCGTTAACATTATACCTTCCTGTGTTCCTTCCTGACGTAAAGTTTCATCCCAGTTGAGCTGAGTCCTGAGGTGCCATCTCAGGGGGGGGTAAGGCTCACAAGGCGAAGGAACAAAATGTGGGTATGGTGCAGTGGTGGCGTTGGTACAGAAGAGGCGTTCCGGCAACCAGCAGAGATGGAAACCCTGGGAGGGCCCCATGCTGTGGAACAAAAGCAAACAAATGGGCTCAATGGCTCAAGTAGCGTGGTACAATGAGGAGGGAGGGGAGATGGCAGCCCAGAAATACACTGGTCAGTTCCGTAACTGTTGTGCCAGGGCAATGTGTTGCAACAGAGGCTGTAAGCTGCCTAAACCTCCAGCACTTTTGGGAAACAAGTCTCGGTTTCTGGCACATTTTGCCTTGTGATTGCACTTCACCTTCAACTCTCTTCCAATGTCTCTTTATTCACAGTCAATGAGAGTAAAGTGGACAAGCAAATCCAAGTGAGAAGTTCATGTTCTTTCCCTGTCCTAATGTTCTCACTACTGTTCCTCCCACCCCACCCCACCCCCCACCCTCCTGCAGTTCTCCCTGACCATCTGGAGGCAGGCCTGGTGGACGAGCGCTGTCCCCTGATGACCGGCTGCGACAGAGCTGGAGGACAGTGTGTGTGTGATGCCCGTCACTCCTGCTTGGGCTCTTTCTCCTATCCAGACCAAGAAACCTGCATGAAGGCCGGCAAGTCAGGTGAGCCCCTCTCCGTCTATCACACACACGTTGACACAGATATGTGTGTGCGCACACACACACACACACACACACACACACAAGGGGTGGGATGGGGGGGGATAATGCTGTCCATTGAGAGAAGCTAATCCATAACAGATGTGGCTCTGAGGTGACTTATGCTACGTACATATCATAGTGATGACACACATGCTAAAGCTTTGTCTAGTGGTTCCCCTTTCACCCTTGAGTGTTGCCATTGTGCATGACTCACTGATGACTGCGGTTCATGTGTGTGTTTGTGTCTGTCTGTATGTGTGTGTGTGTGTGTGTGTGTGTGTGTGTGTCCATGGCTGAATTTCAGAGGGTCGGAAGCACGAGCACCGGGAAAGACACAGAGAGAAGTATGTGGGACCATCCAACCCGGCCTGCATGTTCTCTGGGTGTAACCTGACCGCTGAGGGCTGTGTGTGTGAGTCTCAGAGCTGCCACCACCACTTCGCCTACATCAACCGCAGCCAGTGCCAGGAAGCCGCAGGTAACCTTCAAATGACCTGCAACTGGAAGTGACAACCACACAGCCGGCCGACCAGTAATTCCACTCGGCTCGCATAGAGGTTTCATACCTGAGTCTGAAATAGATTCCTGCACCTACAAAGTTACTTTTACATAAAACAGGATTTTATCTTTCTCCATGCTTAGTGCAAACAGTGACATAAAGGTCGCTACAGCTGAAGGTTTTGCAAATCACCTCTGAGTGGAACATTCCTTATGTCCCTGCTCATTATGTCTGAAGGGAAGCATATTGTCACAGACCAATGAAAACCTTGTGAGTCTAAAGTTGGTCAATTTTAATTTTGAGCAAAAGGGGGAACCTTTTAAAGTTCAAGAGCTAGAAATTGTGTGTGATTGTAAAATGAATCCTTTGTGTCATTCTGCCTGAATATTTGCATGGAGCCACAAAGTTTAACATGCAAAATGCACTTTCCATTATGACGTGGTGGGAAATAGAATGGAGGAGGAGATCAAGAGCATAAGATTGATGTCACAAAAGGAAAACAGGAGAGAAAGATGTGGAGAGTGAAAGGGAGAAGGTGTGAAGCTGACTGACGGTGTAGCAAAAAGAGAGAGTGTCTCCATGTAAATGTATAGAGTGTCAGCTGAATCGTTGCCCCATGCAGGAGGAGAGGGGAAAAAAAAGAAAAAAAGAGAATCCTTTTGAATGAACTGCGAGAGCAGGAGGGATGTGTGATTACCTCCACTCTGAGCCGGCTCCCTGATTGACACTTCTTAGTGAAAGATGTTATTGGCACAGTGAGTTTCCTCATTTGGATTGTAAGGTGTCTGGTAGATAGGCAGGCGTTAAGTGTCGGCGGCCTCCTGAGTGACATTTGCAAAATAGAACAGGACTGCCACTGAGTGAACTCCATGAACCTCTGTGTATGATAGGTAAGCCTCATCTTACTGAAGAGACAGAAAGGTGGGAAACTTTACCGGAAACCAGGAGGAAAACGGTTTCGGTGCTATAGTGAACGGATTAAGCCCAAAGCATGTGACTGTTCCTGCTTGTGTTTTTATCCACGTCTCTCTTCTTTACTCGGGGTTCTTCCTCTCTTTGCACTTTGCTCACATTTTAATTGAAGAAAAGATGGAGATTCTTTAGTCTGCGAATAACACCAGAGGTTATTACAGAACGTTTACAGTGCAGCTGTGTGGATGCTTGTCTTGAGCCATTTACTCTGTAAATCCCACAGGAAGCCTGTTCATCAAACATTATATTGTTTAGACGTATCATCATTGACGTCTAGTGTTCCAATGAAAGACTTAGTGTGAGCCCTCTGTGTTTCGCAACTGCCTCCTCTCAAAGTCTGAGCCCGATGGATGACAGTTTAAACTCACACCAGTGAAAACTGTAAACAACATTTTTCAGCAGCTTATGAGTTCTCACCACAGCACACACCCACCCCCTCCTGATGGCCCCCCTCATTAAGCGAGAGACCGGGAGACCTGTTATGTCTGTTAAGTATGCATGTGCAACGTGGAACGATGCACACATGTGCACGCTGGCAAGTGTTTTATATGTCATCGTGTGTATGTGTGCCTGTGTGTGTAAATGAGCTTGTATATGTGAGCGTCTGAGCCTGCGTGTCTGCATCTGTGTTTGCGCATGTGTCTGTGTGTGATAATTATCTTGTTTGTCTAGATGTCTCGGCAGAGATTTTTCCTTTGTCTGTCATCAGCAGGAGGTCTCTGCGACCAGACTGGGACTCTGCGGTTAGGAAGGATCACTATTCGCTCACTCCTGTAGGACTGCATGGTGATGGCGTCCATCAGCCCCTAGCAAGCAGTTATTTAGATCTGTGTTAGCATGCCCTGCTAGATTGTGACAGCAAATGCATCCTGTAAACTTGCTCTCATGACGCATGAGAGCTTCGCTGACTGCACTTCTCTTCGTGTGCACTGTGTCCCAACCTTTTTTAGACCTTGGATTCTCTTCTTGAGACTCACACATGGATGTAGTTTGGCCTTTCACTTTCCCTCTGACTCACTCAGTGGTCTTGTCACTTTATTCCTCTGCTGTGACTCACTGTGATCTGTTAAAACTCAACATCTTTTCTGCTTCATCACTGCTGACGCTCGTAACTCTGCCGCTTGTGGTTTTAGCGGGATATTATTCTCCACAAGACGACGCTGATGTAATTTGATGGCAAACGTTCGGTCAGAAGCAACATGGTGCTCCAGACATATCACCCACATGTCAGGGAGTAAAGAGGATGTGATAAGTGAAGGAGAAGGAGGGGAGAGGCAGACGCCGGAAGATAGGGAATCACAACAGAGGCCAACCGTTTTGTTGAGGTATTTGTGTCAAGTACAGGCCCCGGAGCCTTGGTGGGGTGGTGTTTGGTAATTTTACACTGCGGGATGGTTTACATATTTCATTCATGATAAGACCTTTAACGGCTATTTCAGAGGAATTCCCCAGCCATTGCTCACTGACGGGAACAAGCAACAGCGGTCTGGGAGGGAGGTGGTGCCCGCTATGATGTCACGACACAAACCGACTCGTTCCCACAAATCTACTTGCCCACCTATGCCACCTCTGTCCTGCCTCCCTCTGCCCTTGTGAAAGGACTGTTAGTTCTGCTTGGCTGCAGCCTCTTTGTGGCGGGGCTATTACTGGCCGAGCCAGACCGCCACTGGCTGGAAGGGGTGTGAGACGTCTCAGCGCCGTGTGTGTGCGCACGCGTGTGTGTGTTTATGTGTGTGTGTGTGTGTGTGCTGTCTGCTGTGCGGAAGCTGTGGCCCCTTGCAAGCTGCTTGTTTCCTAGTGTGTGCATATTTGTGTGTGTGTGTGTGTGTGGGTAGTAATTTCAAAGAGGAAACAAAACTCTTGTGTGGTAATCAAGACAAAGAACTTCCCCTAAAGGCATGTTGGGATTGCTGTCATCCCACTCAGTACTCATGGTCAGCCGCGAACCAAACCAGCCAGCATTAGGCCAACAGGGAAAGCCAAGACACACACACAAGAAGTCTTAGCTCTAACCTTCAGTCCATTCACTAAAACAAGGCTGAAAACCTCAGCTTATTGACCCAACCATAACCATTAACAAATCAAAGACACCTCGACTGCAGCCCAGGCCAACTCCTGTTGTTCCCAGACACATTTCTCCTATCATCCGCTATTCTTTCCCCTTTCCCCCTTAAAGGGAACAGATCCATATGGCCAAAATCCATATATAACTCAACTGCTTCTTCCACAATTTATTCAACAGCTGTCCACACCCCAGGTCTCCCATAGAGTGTTTTCTACATTTGCTACAGATTGTTTTTTTTTAAGTAGAGTCTCCTCTGAGGGTCAGTACACGTGATAACTGCTTAGTTTTGCTTCTCAGTGCTTTATGTATAGTACCCTGGAGCAGAGTGCGTTCACCCTTTTCATATGCATTTTGTGCCAGATATAGTGATAGACATGCCCTTTAGCCTGATAGACGTCCCTCGCGCTCTCTGTCACTGCCCTAATCTTATTGACCATCTGACGTTAAGGAAAGGGTGTGCTTTCAATGGAATGCACACATGCTTTAAGTAGCCTCGCTACGCACCCGCACAAACGCGTACATGAATGCATCTTATGTGCAAATGTGCACCTACACGAGCACATTTGTCATGACCTCACCCAAACATGCTCGCTCACAGCTGGAGCGGTGTTGCTGAGGACACTGAGATCACGTTTTTCATCTGCAAATATTTAGCCAGAGGGTGAGACAGCAAGGCGTGCAGGCGGCAGATGCAGGCCCGCTGGCTTGCCGCATGCCTACGCCCCGGCTTCAAACCATGGTGTGAAGTTCCCACCGAGCGTTTCTTCCAGGTGACCCTGTCTGTGCCTTTTGGCCTGGACCTCCTCCCAGACCTGCTCCACAGTCCTCACACACGCTGACACACACACAGTGAACAATGGCGACTTTCTCAGCTGTAACTGCTGGTGGGCGCCGGGCCAGGCCCCCACAGCTTATGTGAGAGGGACGGCCCTGATGTGTCCCCTCGCGGAGCAACTTTATAAAACCTGAGGACAGACCAGAAACCCACGGAGGGCAGCTGGACTGAGACAGCTTTGTTCTCCTCTGACTTGCTTCCAAAGTCAGTCAGTGAACAGAACTCACATTGTGCGCTTTTTCCATGAGTAAACTCGGGTTGTCAACACAGCGTCCTCTGCCTGGCTGAGCCGCTCTGGTTCGGAGAAAGACTGCGCTCCTTGTATCCGAGCTTAAAGGGAAGAAAAACCCATTTAGAAAGGAGGTGTTTTTCTTTCTTCAACGAGCTGCTGAGATGCCAGGAATATGCATTGTTTACAATAGAAACTATTCTGTGGTAATGAAGCAATTTCCGTATCCCATCTCTTCCAGACCAGCGCCAGGTGTGTGTACCTGTGTGTGTGTGTGTACGTGCTTGTGACTATGTATGTCGTTGCAGGTTGTGCATTGAGGTCAAAGGTTTCCCATTCTTTGCTATCTTACAATTGTACAAGAGCACATGTTGCCTGATCTGCAGAGGGAATTTATCGCGCATACCAAATCAGGCCTTTTGTGTTTGTGCAAGCTGGAGTATGGCCACCATTGTGATATGAAGATTGGTTCTGTGGTTGCTGACTCACTAATTACAGCCACTTATGCTCTGAGATAGAACCCAAACAGCACAGGATAAAACCCATTTGCTGCTGACTTTTTCCATCCTCTCCGTCTGCCTATTGTGCCTCTAAATGTGCCCGCTAGAAAATGATATTAATTGGACCTGCAAGGGTCTGGACCATTTCCACGGATAGATACAATTCTATTCATTTGAATGACAATGGTATGTCTGCCAGCTGCTTTTCCCAGCGCACTCTCACCCCAGCTATTATCGCAACTGAAAGAGTAATCAGCTTTCTCTGGGACACATACAATACACAGAAAGTGTTTTTCAGTGCAGAACGTTGTGCAAGATCGTCCCAGGGCATTTTCTACGGCTTTAAACAGCGTGAGGTTTTCATATGCAAAACCGGTCTTCAACTGAGCAGCAGCAGACTGCATTAGACTTTATTGGAAGTAAAACATTTGCTAATCAGAGCTTCCAACTGAAGTTTATTTAACTCCAGCATAGGAATTAGGCCAAGAACCGTTAAAAGGGTTGTAGCCTCCCTTAATTCAGGGGTTTTTCCCCTCATTTTCTATGACACTATTCAGCTACGGAGTTTATCAATGAGAGCTTTGTGGTGGCCCTCACTGTTCCCAGGTTGCTTGAGTAAACAGTACAGTACAGATACCTCACACTTTTGCTGTATTTATCTGGAGCCAGAAAAATTCAACGTTTCCCCTATCCTCAATTTCATCTGTCAGAAATCTTACCCCCACCCGCCAAAGTACAGCAGTCACAGTCTTACGGCCCCTCTCCGCAGTGTTTATTCTAGGCCAGGTAGACATCAAATGGCTAGTTAACCACAAGGCCGGCAGAGCATCAGGTCAGACCAGAGAGTTCGCCTTCTAAAGATGGAATGGATGAGAACGTACAGTACAAGAGGTCCCGCTCTGTTGAGTCGGGGACTTGGCAGAGCAGGGCCATTATCAAGGGGATCAGAAGTCTGGGCCCCCGAACTCTGCTCACCAGTTCCAGTTTCCCCATCTGGTGGCAGAACCAAGAGGGATCCACTTACAGGTCTTCAAATGTCAAGGATGAGGCACATCCTCTGAGAGACTTGTGTTGCACAGCGGAGCCAGCACCAGTCTGGTAAGACCATCAACAAAACTCAAGCTTCTGGAAACACCACAAAAAAAAAAAACTCCGAGCACTGTTACGCAACGCCGGCCTGTATCATTCCCTCTCCTCAAAAACCATATGTATGCAAAGATTGTTCAAGTGTTCTGCACAACAAAATCATGATCCACTTGATTTAACATTCTGAAAAGGCTGTCAAGTGTCGACATGTTTCCTCCTTTATATGTTGGTGATTAAACTAGTCGATGCTGCCTTTCCACTCTTCCTCTCAGTTGTCAAAGTGTGTGTGTGTGTGTGTGTGCGCGTGTGTGTGTGTTGGTCTTTCAGCAGAGGATCTGGGAAATGACTTAGTGATTGACCATTATAGGACGGGACGTGAGTCTGCTCTCCTGCGGCCCCTCTCCTCTGCCTGCACTGTATACATTACAGTGACACTGAGAACCAAAATAAACACGTCCCTTTGGTTTGGGTAATCCAATCTTTGTAAGGTAGCTACTGTTCTCATACAATGTCTGTACAGAGGGGCGCTCCACTTTTCTTTTTCCTGAACAGGCTCCAAAATACACCCCTGAACCCCTTGCCCAGATTTCCAGTGCCCCCGCACCTCTTTCCCACCTAACAAGGGGTATCGGAGCTATTATGTTGGCTCTGGCAAATGAATAGACAAACACATCCTGGTATGCTAAGTGAAGGGGAGATTCTAAACTGGCAAGAAGAAAGGCTCTGTTGAAAGTTGGCTGGTATTAATGACTGGTTTTAGAGCGTGAGGGGCTGTTTGGATTGTGAGCCAGTCGAGCCAGGCTGGGTGGGATCAGAGGCGCGTAGACAGGATATGCAGAGAGCCTTGTCGTGTCTAGAGCGCCGCTCTCACTTCTCTGACAGGATGCTGTAAAGCTGTCACGGACTGAAGTGGGGATCTGATGACTGTGCACAGAGTTTGTGTTGGGTGACTGTGTGAACTCAGCTTTTAGACCGTAACACGAGTAGCGCTGTTCTAAAGTGGCTCAACTGACACTACGAGGAGGTGGCAAGCCCTCACACACACACACGCACACACACACACACACACACACACACACACACACACACACACACACACACTTATGCAACCCCTCCTTCCTCTAGGAGAACAGTGTGGGCACTGTCAGAGCAGTTGAAGGTGGAGTTATAGAAGAAGAAAAATTAAAAAAATGTCAAACCTGTGTTGTTGTTTGTTTTGTTTTTTTGCACGTTCTATTTGCTGCATACCCACCCGCATCTCACTGTGAACATGCATGCATATCTGTGTGTTTCAGAGGAGCTGAGGTGTGCCGGGGTGACGTGTCCCGCCCTGCAGGTGCCCTCCTGCCCCCACGGTTCAGTCCTGACCAAGAGTTACACGCCCCCTGCTGGTTGCTGTCCCTCCGTACCTCCCCAGTGCACTTGCGACCTCCGTGCCTGCCACAAGCCCCAGTGCCCGAGCGGACAGCGAGCCGTGTCGCTCAGCCAGGCCAGCGGTCAGCCAGGAGACTGCTGTGATGTCTTTGAGTGCCAGAAAGGTGATTACACTGAACTGCACAATACACATTCTGTTTCGATTGGTCTCCCGCTGGGGGTAGCAGTAGCACAGTTGGTGTGAGATTCATCGCCTTTGAGGAGGCAATTATTTTCCTCGGAGTAAGGCTTTCCTCCCTGCTGACCAAATGTCCACAGATGAAAAGGAAAGTTGCTGATTGGATAATTACTTTTGGGCTGTTTATCAGGCTTGGCTGATGCCTTCCCGGGGTGGAATGGTTCCAAAGCAATTTTTCAGGGGTGTAGCCGCAAATATTTTTATTGCTTAAAGGGTTATTAAATATAATGGTTCTTTCTAAGGCGATGCTGTTCTGAAATGCACTTGTGCACCATTTTCTCACCAGGTGAGAAAGAGACATAAGTAATACAGGAAAGGAGAAGCGAGAGAGAGCAGATGTTGATTGTACACACACACACACACATACACACACACACACACACACACACACACACAGGGAGACTTCAGCGCTCTCTGTCAGAGGCCCAGAGGCAACCAGGAGAGTCAGGAAGGCAGGGAGGGGACCTGTGGTATTGGTCTGTTTACTCTGCGCTCCCAACAAATATTCGCTGTTTTACCAACAGAACAAATTCCCATTCTGGCCCCTCCACATGTATAAATGAGTGCCGTGTCCCGGAATTAATGGACTTAACGAGCGCAGTGACCAGAAAAGTGCTTAGGCTACGAATTTGCTCAACAGAAGTGCAGTGTCAAAGGGTTCCTGTCTGGTCACACATCCAAAGGGAAAAGGTTCAACAGTTCATTGATGGGAATGCTTTTTATGTGCTCCAGTCTGCCAGTGGGGAGGGTAATCGAGTCCGGCAGGCCAGCGGGGGCTGAATGGCAGCCGTGGGGGCCATGGGATCAGTGTTTTGATAACAAGTGTCTGCTGCTCTTTGGGCCTGGGGCTTGATGCCTTTTGTGCTGCCCCCACTGTCTGTTAGGCCTGCATGACTGCGCGCCGTGTCAGAAAGCTCCACAGACAGGGACACGGACAAGGACACGCACTGGGCCCCCCTAGTCACCTCCCCGGTCCTGCAGAGGCCCCCCAAAAGTACTAGCTACAAATACTGTAACTTAGACATACAAGCTGTAAGTTGCTTTCAAATACCATACCTATCCTGTAATGGAACGCACTTTAACACGGGCCCCTATTGTCTCCGAGTGTCAGGCTTGGACTGATTAACTTGTTTCCATTGCCCACTTGGCGGTGGGCTCATATTTAGCCAGGGTCAGTGTGTGCAGTGACAATAAGCTCCACCTGTGTGTTTTGGCCTCCATCGACAATAGACTCTTTCCACTGTTGGCTGGAGAGCGGCGGTATCTGGGTGGCAGAGCAAACCTGGCAGCCACCGTCCTGACCTCACGTCATCTGATGTTACAGATGATCCTGATGTTTATCAACACTTTAGCTGGCACATAACTCTGCCCTGGATACAGAGCAGGTTCAGCGCTGCACATGTTCCTCTGAGATTTAGCGCCAGTGTTGAGCAATAAGGCTGAGATCACCACACTAATCATTCTCCAGGAGCTCAGCTTGAGTCTGTTATAAACACGCAACAGCCGTGTCCTTGTACATTGATGAGTGGTTGTGTTAGTGACATAAGCTAAACTCGTATTTCTACGTTGTCAACTGATCTGTCTGAACTGATCCAAAGTATCTCTGTAAAGTTGATTTTAATGAATCCCATCATTATTAATCTGAAGACAAAGTCACATTCCCTCTGTTGTTTTGCTTTATTTGCCTGTAAACCACAAGAAGCGCCAGCATGACAGTCCATTATGAACGATTTAGCCAGGCTTAGGGTCGATGTTTTATGGCCCATCCATCTCCACATCCAATCCTCATCTCAATTTAGAGAAGACTGAACATCACAAAGCATGACTGGAATTTAGACTCAGTGCCGCAAGTTGTTTTAGGGATTACCATTAACAAACACTGCGGAAATCACATGTGAGCATCCCCTCATGTGACTTCCTATTGCTTCTGTGAGCGTTAAAAAACGTTGCCGTGCCTTTTGATTTCGGCCAGCTAAAGTGCTTATTGCATTTTCTCTGCTTGGTTTTGCTGCACGCAAAGCAATGGTGGCAGGAATACTGAGTGAGAGGGGGGGGGGGGCAGAAAGAATGGAGCAGAAAAGAGGAGGCGAGGAGGAGAATAAAAAAGATGAACAAATCCCCACTCCGCTTTCAACTCCCTTGACCCACCTGCTTTGTGTTAGGGTGCAAGCGCTGGTTGTCAGGAGGCTTGGGGTCACCGGCGCAGACGCTCAAAGGTATGGCATACAGATGCCGCTGCACTCATTTATGGAGCCCCACATCTGGTTGCATCTACGCAGTACATTTAGTGGCTCAACTAGTGTAGCTGCTCCTCTGTGAGTCTGGAGACTTTCTTACATAACCACATTGCCTCACTTCCCTCATGCCGGAGTGTGTTTGATGAGAAAGTACTGTGTGGTTATTTAAGATCTTATGATGTTAAGTCACCCCAAACCACTGTGGTACATTTGAACATGTGATGTAGTATTACTATTGAGATGTCGTGCCGTAATCTTCCTGTTACTTTGGCCACAATACTAGCATCATTCATTTTGGACGATTGATCACTTTTGGTTCATTTTGTATAAACTGCAACTGAGGATGTTTATTATAATTTTTTTTTTTTTTTTAGCTTTTGTTTGTCTTTGTTTTTCTTTTTTCCACACACAGAAACACACACAAGAACTCAAACACCTCAAGTGTACTATGAGCAGGTCAAGGTTTTCCCGTACGTGTTTTGGCTTTACCAGATCAGTTTTCTACACACAAGATCAGACCTCGGTTTCCCGGCAGTGCTGTAACTAAGCTCATTTTATTTCATAATAGGTTTAATGCAGTTAAAAGAGGTTCTAAGAGCTTGAATTCTTTTGGAAAAGGCAGACCAGAGCGCTGATTCACTCCACCTGCCACCAGCACACTGAGCCCAGATTCTGCCAAAATCCTCAGACCCACTACTGTTTTCTTTTACTCGTCACTGCAAGAGTCCAGCGCCTTTTCAAGACTTGATAGATCCCTGTGAAATCCCTGCTCACGGACTTGGCCTCATTGTCTGATAAATGCCATTCCACCTCACAGGCTTAACTTCAGCCATCAGTGTCTACCTCAGCACCATTTGGTTCGGATAAACATTTCCATTGATAGCAGAAAATGAACGGATGTTGATGAATCTGTAATTGAATGTATACAGTAGCGATCAGCCTCTCGCTGATCAAGCTTGACACTTGTGATGAAAAGCACATTTCTCTGTCATATAGTCATGAGGAGACGGATCTGGTATTAATCCCTGCCAAATGTGAAGGACACCTGACAGAGCACAGTTCCCTCGGAGTGTGTTGAGCATTATCTTCCCCACATGATGTCCGTTTTAAGGTTGACAGCGTCTGTCTGATTTTGATTCGTCCTCTCCTTGTTCTCTCTCCTTAGTCTCTCCCAAGTGCGTCCACAATGGAAAGGAGTTCTCCGAGGGAGAGGTGTATCGCATGGACCCCTGCTGGCTGTGTCAGTGCAGAGGAGGAATCTCCTTCTGCTCCAAGGCAGAGTGCGCTGAGCTGGATTGTGAAAACTTCTACATTCCTGAGGGCGAGTGTTGCCCCGTCTGCATAGGTACACGTGCTTTCTTTACTATTTTGCAAAAGATATGGCGACTTGATTCTTCGTTTTTGCCCAACATGACCCAGTTAACATTGGGAGATTCTGATTCACAGTTAGGTTTCTGGGGTTTAAGCCACTGGTGATGTGGCATACAGAAGGCCTGTGCAGCTAGTTGCCAGTGTGGAAAGTTGATGCAGGAAGAGGAGAAGTGGAATCAAAATCCACCTTGCCTGACACTTACCTCCAATAACCCTCCCTTAATGGCTTCCTCATATAACCAGCTTCGACAGTTGTTAACATACCTGGCATACAAGAGGCGCACTAAAGAGCCAGCCAGGGATTCATTTCCACTGGGGAGACTGAAGAACATAAAAACCCTCTTTTTAGAGTGTACAGCTTGGCTTTGTAATATCTGGCTCTGGCTTAATAGTGGGGACCCACTTGCAAAAAAACACATGTGCTCGAAGCCAGGTAGGGAGCTCCGGTACGTGCACTTTGGATTGTTTAAAAAAATTTAAAAAAAAGGGGGGGTTGCAGCGCATATGGTGACCACATTACAGTATGCCAGAGGCTTGAGGATGGAGACGGTAGCCAGCTTTGGCCTCTGCCTGCGTGGCTGCACTTGATCGGGCGCATGCGAGAGAGAGAGAGAGAGAGGGAAGAAGACAAAGAGCGAGGTTGCAGAGGAGATCATGTTAGGTCAGCGTTGGAGGTACACCTGGAATGTGCAGGCATTTAGATGGTATGGAATGCTTTCATCTTTTTTTTTTCTTATGGAAAGCTGCTCGTACTTACTGCACGGCTCACTGCAGAGAACATTGGATGGAATTACTCTAAATCTGGATTAAAAGATCTATGTAGGTTACCTGGTTGTGATTATACCTAAAGCTGCACTAATCAATATTTCAGAATTACAATAGATCAGTGTGAAGGGGTTGCAGTTCTGCTCATCTCTGCAAAGTGCTTTAGCAGCTAATGATTTTAGTTTTACAGCCTACAGCTTTACTGATTTGGTTCATTCTTACCAATAGCATTACAGCAGGGTCAGGCAGCTGTCTTTAGCTTTAGCTTTGTACGCTACATGGCCAGCACAAAACATCAGACAAAGTTAGCAACTAGCTGGTGAACACAGTGGAGCGTTTAGCAGCTAAAGAGGAAGACGTTTCTCTTAAGAGTTGATGGAGACCAAACACAGAGCTAAAAGGAAAGTGAATATTGGACTAAGATTTATCAGGTGGCCAGAAACACAAGACCAAATAAATGCAAACTATGTCTGTTAGACGTGTAGATGCCAACACATTCTAACACACATAACAAATCTATGAAGTAATAACAGGTCAATGCTGTGTTTTTAGCATCGCCATTGAATGCAGGTTTAATTAAGAAGTGATTTACCACAAGAGACCTCATCTATTATGTCGAGGTATGGCAAGCTTGATGTGGAACTACTTTTTTTTTTACACTGGAAATGTGCATAGCATCTTTCGTACAAGACTGTTTGACTTAGCCTCTGATCTGTCAAGTCTTTGAGAATTAATTAAGTCTGATCTTGGCTTGGGTTTGAAGACAACACATTTTTAACTGAAAGCAAGCTGAAAGAAGCTATTGAGTAGCATATGGGAAGTGTAGGTATCTGGAGTAGTGAGGAGATTTTAAAAAAAGCCTCTGTTGCATCAATGCATTCAATCTTTAATCTTACAAGTCTCCCACCTTCGTGGAAGTGAAATGCTAAAATCCTGGAGTGACCCTTTAAAGTTGCAATGTAAGGGGGCCATGGTACAGCATATGTGAGGTGTGCAGTGAGAGAGAGAGAAAGGGGGTGAATAGGAGAGAGAAAAAGAGATCCTGTTCAGGTTAATGGCAGCCAGATGGATGGAATCTAAGCAGCCAAAACTCAGCTGGGATCAGATGGGGCAAATAGGACTCCTGTGCAAAGTATACAGCACCCTCTCTCCCTCTGAAACACGTTCAATAAGCCGCACTGGACACGTAAACAGACAGAAATAACCCTTTCACACCGACACACAGAGAAAATGCTGAGACCACCCTCTAACCTCTTTTGCCAATAAATGGTGCAACAAAAACAATTAAAACTGTTTATTGTAAGTGAGGGAAAAAAAGGCTTCCACAACTGGGCTCAGGCATGATACGTCCCCTCATGCTGAGCAGAATGGCTGCGCAGATTGGCTTTTAAACTGTCAAACTTTATGGTTCCTACTAATGGCTACAGATCTAAAAAAGTGCTTTCTTTGCTTTGGAGGGAGATTTATGGTATCAAACACTGACCTCGCCATTGACCTCAGTGGTCACAGCTGAAATTCTCATGGATGAGTTCAGGCTTTTAGCTAAAGGGTGAGTGGACACCGTGGAGACCAGCAGTTATGAATGTCATCACCATCGCTGTGTTTCCAATTATTAAATCTCTCTCAGGACGACAGCGATATCCCAAACCTCATCGTGTCTCATTTCAACTTTTATCCCTACATATGTTGTTGCAAAGTCGAGAGCCTCTCCCCACTTATAAATGTAAATAAGTCATCCAAATTTCAAACATGTTCTCTCCCTTAGCTCTTGGTGACAAGCCAGTTTCAGTATGATGTTAGCCCCCTCATGGAGTATCCTACTTCCTTCAGCCCTGCTCTCACTGTGTCTCCTGCTAATTCATTTACAGTAGAGAATATTGTGTATGTATACATTGGACTGTAGGTTTTGGGTGTAACTCCAATTCATGGTTGCCAAACTAAAAGTATACATTTGACTTGGCTAAAGAATCAGATCAAAGATTCTCCTCTTCTCTCACTTTATTCCTTACCCCACCATGTTGTACTGTTTCCTCTCAGATGTGGAGTTACTATCGATGGACAGCACTAAGGCCAGCTGCTGGGTGAATAATAAGCTCAGAGCTCATGAGGAGCAGTGGAAAGAGGACGACTGCACCTTCTGCCAGTGCGTGGATGGAGAACCGCACTGCACAGCCATGGCCTGCAAGCAGAGCTGCCAGAACCCTGTCAAGATCCCCGGAGAGTGCTGCCCTTTCTGTGAAGGTAGAGGGAGTTGTGTTGGTGTTCAAACCTTATATTTTATATTCATTGTATCTAATGTATCGGTCATATTTATAGAAAGTGCACATTAGCCCACATACCACATGTAGGAGGCTCCTGCAGCTTTGCTTCAGAGGCCGTGTTGCCATGGGCTCATTAAAGGGGAGGCCACAGAGCATTCTTCAAGCTGCAGGGTTCTTTGTGTTCCTTTATTACCCTTGCCCGCCAAAATGAGACCCACCTGTTTGTGTGTGTGTGTGTGTGTGTGTGTGTGTGTGTGTGTGTGTGTGTGTGTGTGTGTGTGTGTGTGTGGGTGTGGCTGCGGTGTGCTTTTAACGCAGGAAGGCTGCATAATTGAAGTGGATCTTTTTTTTTTTTTTTTTGTGAGCGTAATTAGTTACGGCTCGTTGGCCTGCTCCTCCCACTGAACGTGGCGAGAGACATTTGACGGGAATAAATATGGTGCATGTACGTGTGTGTGTGTGTGTGTGTCCTGGTTTTATTGTGGCTTCTCAATAAAGCTGGCCCCGATTCAAGGTGGTCTGGGCAGTGCCAGAGTTTGACTTCAGTCCAGGGGACACCGTATGAACGTCACTGGTAATCCCAGAGCTAAAACATTAGACACATTCAATTTATTAATGGGAAACAGTTCCACACAATAAGCCAGAGAGGTATAATCCCCCTTTACAGTGCGACCCACCCTGGTGTAATTGCTCTACATTTATCTTTAATTACTGTTTACTCCAAAATAAGAGCGGTGTAAACAAGTAGCTATTACAGTTGGCACAAAAAAGCATAGAAGAGGTATTACACCTGAAGGGATCTTAGCGCAAACCGGGAAGAATTTATAACAGGATCATTTGTTCTTTGTTTCATACTTTGATTACTGTGGCTCTCATGCAAAGCTCTCACCCTCCATCTTCTCTTTTGTTCACCAGAGCCTTCTTATGAAACAGTTAGCCCCATGCTATGTCCTCCCCTGGAAAACTGCTCACTGTCAGGGAATGAATGCCCCTATGGTTTCCAGCAAGACAAAAATGGATGTCTGCTCTGCCAGTGTCTCAACAGTAAGTCGACTTTCCTCACTCTGTGTTGGACCTAAAGGGTTAAAGTTCCAGAGAGGGAGAAGCATGAACACGATAAATTTCCTTTGACGTGCTGCCTCTTGCAGTTTTGCATTAAAGTGCTGGACATACAACACTGTATTTACCTGTCATGTACGTCTGCTGTCAAAAAAAAAAAAAAAAAAAAAAAAAAAACCCGCAACCACTTGGTTTTGACATGTTCATATTCATCACCACATATTTGCATCCATGACTACAGTCTTTGCAAGGTTCTCTGTCACAGGAATGTTCCTGTGAAGCAGCCCCATAGCAACTCATGCCTTTTTCTTTTGATGGATTGTTGTGCCCATGATCAGATGACCTCTCCCTCAACTCTTTCAGATGACTCCTGCCCCGAACTGGGAAAATACTGTTCCTTGCAATGCCCGATGGGATACGAGAGGGACGATTTTGGCTGCGAGGTGTGTGAGTGCAGCATCCCCATGCCCAAGTGCCGACCTCTGACCTGCACTAAGACCTGCCCTTATGGATACGTGTAAGTACACCCAGTGACCCCGTGGGTTTCTCATCCCTCAAGTATGGCTACGCTCATTTGTCATCCGTGTTTTCAGACTGTTTAAAGGCATCTGTGGCTGTCAGTGACATAACATGCAGATACACGAAGAAACTATACATTTTGCTCTTACATACTTATAAGACAGAGAAATCTAAGCGGATGGTAAACTTCTGTAAAAATCTGTTGTGACAGTGAGAAGTGATCATTTTCATAATGATGATGAATGAAGTTTTTTTTTTTTTTGCCCAGTCATCCCCTGCATTTAAATTACTATGTTTTAGATAAGTACAATACAGCAAGAAGAACAATACTTATATTATCAAGTGATGATCAGAAGCCAGTGCCTGTTTAGTCACGTTCAAATGGAATCACTACAGGCTATTGCAACAGAAGTTTTGGGCCTACCTCGGTGGCCAATCCCAGGTCTCCATATCTGCGTGTAAGAGTGTGTGTGCACGTTTGTGTGTGCGAGTGATTCACTGTGCGGTCCACACTGGCCTCTCAGCCCCCTGCAACTCCTCTCCTCCTAATCCCATTTAACCCAATCAAACATCTGGAAGCGCTCTCTACTAGGACGCTTGGTCCCCAGGCACCCCTCTCGTTTCATAAATCATCACCCCATCTCAAAACAACGATCAAAAACACATCACGACAAAAGCGGCCTTTATGAAACGTATACAGTTGGGATTCTTCTGGTACCTCAACCATGCTCTCTGGAGCCACGGCTCAAGATGGGCCCGATATGTCTGCGTAGGATGCCAGAGGAGAGGAGAGGAGAGGAGAGGAGAGAAGAGAAAGGGGGAATCCTGTGGGGAAAAGACGAGCAGGAAGTTCTGGCTTTATCCTTCATAAGCAGCTGTTTAAGTCCACCCTCAGAAGTCTGATATCCTCTGAGAGTTTGCCAGCCTTCCAATGCAGATCTGTCTGCTCACACAGGAACCCTGCATGCAGCCACCACAAAGAAACAAAAGGCACAAAGGATCACTGTGTTTATACTGGTTGTATTGATGACATCCTGTGAGCACTGTAATGTACATAGTCAGAACTGAAGCTGCGGGAACCGTGTAGAGAATGTTTACCCGTTGTGCCGAACACTCCTCTCGTGTGTTCACAGTCCCGGTGACGGACATTCTCAGGGTGGTTCTTACGACTGAAGTTGTGTTTTTATGGGACATTTGTGTGTTTTCCATCCTTCATAGCTCAAAATCATCACTGTGACCACACGGGTCATGAATGGCATTCTTCTCGCCATCACGGTTGCGGCGCACTGGAAATTGTGCCGAGCCAGCAGTCCCAGGGCCAGGGGCCCTGGTGCCTCCCCAAGCCCCTCTATCCCCCTGGAGCCCAAAGCGCTGCTTGGCATTCCACACACCATCTTTAAACAAAGCCTTGCTCTAAGGTCGCAGCACTCTCTGTCTCTGTATTTGTACAGTGAGACACTGGCCAACCCCTCACAATGTTGTTTCAAAAGCTGTTATTGCTGTTTCAGCATAGATAGGGTCCTCTGTTTGCTGAGCCTGACATGCTCTGTCCACTTTATGAGCCACGGCAACGCTCATGGGGTCGAGGGCTTCTTTTATTTACGTCACCCTGGAAGATGAAGATGAATAGAGTAATTACCCAGGCCAAATGAGGCCACTGCTTCATAAAATAGGTATCATCACTTACCTGGAGGGAGAGACGGAAAGGGAGCTGGAGAAGGAGAGAGGTATAGATACAGGTCATTCTTTCATCTGGGTTTGGACAGTTTATCAACCTGCAGCTCATCCATGTTTTATTAGGCAGATAATTGGATCCAACTGGTCTATTTCCAGCCTCTGCCGCTTCTGCCCTTTCTACCACTCTTCCCTCTGTATGTGAGAATATCCCTTTAACCATGCTTTGTCTGACAACTGAACTCAAGTGTCTTCTCTGGTCATCTTAGTAAAATTGGCCCTTTTTTTAAAATTTTTTTTTTAACAAATCAACCATCATCTTAGACATGACCATCAAAAGGCCTCTCTCTCTCTCTCTCTCTCTCTCTCTCTCTCTCTCTCTCTCTCTCTCTCTGTCTCCGTGCTTTTCTGTTCTCCCCAATCAGCATGCCGACATTAGTTCTTATCTGGCCCCTGCTCTTGTGTGCTTTTATATGTCCGCCAAAGGCTTTTGGACCAGTAAGGATGGCAGCAGGGTGAATTGAAAGCATCTGAATTGGCTTTAGATTTCTCCTTTTGGAGTCTTTCGGGTTGGTATGATGTGCAAACCACAGGGATCTCACGTGTTGGCCTTTTATTTGGCCCTCTTCAAAGGCAGCTAATATAGAGAGGGGAAAGCAGGTCCAGATGTTGATTATGCCAGACTAGAGCATCTGGGTCTCTGTATCACAACACCATGTTGCTCCGTAGCCTTCTCCTCATCTTGGACACATTGCAACTTTAAACTCTGTTTCTGTGGTGTTGTTTACTTTCTAACATACTCATACTCACATAACTGCGTTTAACACGTGTGTGCTTGTTGCTCTGCAGGAGGAACAAACATGGCTGTGAGATGTGCCGCTGTGTCAAGTGTCCCCCCTTCACCTGTGACAAGCACTGCAGCGACGGCTACCGACAGAACCGGAAGGGCTGCTCCATCTGCATGTGTAAAGGTAACGAAGCGGTTGCATTTTTTTTTTTTTTTTTTTTTTTGCAGCCTAAGGTCAAATGCTTGGTTGTCATTCTAGTGTATATTCATGGTCTCCAGAGAATGAGCCCTGCTTGATGTTGTGCGCTCTTGACCTTTCATGTACCACCAGACCATAACGCACATTCATAGATTAAATGTGACATTTACCGAACATGCTCCCTAAAGGATAAACCTTATCACAATATACTTTAGCAGTTTAAAGGGCAGAGGATGGAGGGAGATTGTTGAATTTCTGCCACTAAGCCGCAGCTTTGATTTCCTGTGACCTTTTGCTGCTCTGCTGTGGAGACTTTTATGTCTGCTTGTTTGAGTTTTTGTCTGTGTTTAGTTTCATCCAGGGTCTGTGTGCGCAGCTCTAATTAGATTCCCTCAACCCTTAAGTTTAAAGCAAGTACGCAGATGCCATATTTATGCTCTGCCACATTTTATGTGATGTGTTTATTTTGCCAGTTTAGCGGTATTATAAATATTTCAGGCTCAAATATACTCATGGTTTTTCTTATATAGTGAGGTGATCAGTGCAGCTTGCTCCTCATCTCCACAAACAGAGAGACACACACAGGCCGGTACCGCCTGCAAATAAACCGCTGTTTGCCTGATTTTGAAACTCTTGGATCAGTCTCTCTGTAGACTCCTAAAATATTTAAGGATAGGAAACTTTTTTTGGAAGTATGATTTTTTTTTTTTTTTGTGTGTGTGTGTGAGAGAGACATCTGCATGAACTGTGCAGCGTCGTACAGTTCACTGTTGTTCCAGATCCCATTTGATCCCTACAAGCTTTAAAAGCCATGCTGAGTTTAACACCTAGTTACTGGCGAGTTGGGTTCTTCATAAAGTGAATGTGTCCCTCATCGACAGCCTTTTAGTTTTTTGTCACTTGACAAAAAATTGCGGAAAAAGTTTTTTTTGTTGTTGGAGCATAAATTGATTATTGGGAAATAAATGCACAATAAAGGAAGATCAAACATTCCTGACTCATAAATGCTCCAGCATATGGAACCATAACCGGTGAGCTCTCACTTTAACCTCTAATGAAACTGGACTTAGGACAATAATACTGACCCTTCTCACTGTAAATTTTAGATGTGCTCAATGAAATTTCCATAGTTAATTTACAAAGCTTCTTTCCATAACAGGCTTCTGTTGCTTTTAAATGTTTTTTTTCACAGCTATTCCACAAGTCCTTAGTCCTACTGCAGTAATGTCTGTGCTTTCATGTTTGTGTCTCCAGAAAGTGGTCATGTCCCAAGCACCACTGCCCCGGCCCCAATGCCCAACTATTGCCTCACCTCCAATGGGCACCGATACGAGGAAGGTGATGGCTGGCACGACGGCTGTCGTGACTGCTACTGCCACTCTGGACGGGAGATGTGTGTGCTCATTTCATGCCCTGTACCCAGCTGTTCTCATCCAGTCGTCAGGCCTGACCAGTGTTGTCCTACATGTGAAGGTAGGTCTCTGCAATTTAAACATGACTATTTTTTTTATATCAAGTATTAAAGGATGATTCCTGGTTACTACAAATTAGGTCATAGTTTTGGTTTCATTCCTATCAGTAATAATACACTGTGTTCACCAAGTTAATTCTTGGAATACAGTGACATTGCTCAAAGGAAGTCTAATGGGGGAAGAAACACAAGACGAACAGGTTTAGTTTTTATTTTTGAAGAGTAGATGGAAGAGAGAATCACTCCTCAAGCTATTCATTACATAACATCCACTCCAGTTTACTGACTGGCTTTATGGTTTCTCCACTGACCATACGTGTTGTTAGTTGCTCACACACCGTTTCCTTGTGCAATGAGGGATCATGGCGTCATTATGGCTGCACTCACTTTCATGACTTCTTGAAAGCAATCCTGCTGCACTCCCAGATCTCAGCATTTACACCTTGTGAGTACAATTTTGTCATAACCAATAAAAATGGCATCCAAAACTAAGAAAATAAGTAGTTTTAATAAAGTGGAATAATCGTTTAAAAAGACAAAAAAACAATCTATCATTGGTTTAAGTTCAGTTTAAACACGTTGACCACTTGAAAATTCTTTCAATATACTGAATGAAGCGCCAGCATTCAATAGATCACATGCGTGCGCACACACACACACATACGTACGCACGCGTACACACATCTGGCACGATACAGTTCACGGTCACCTAAACAGCTCATTCAACCTGAGAGCTTTGGATCATTAGCTGGCTTTTAGGCCTCAGACATGCCGGCCACTTCAACCCGCAAACACACAGTCTCTGTCTGTTTCTCTAAAAATGGAAGGCACACTGATCCACACCCACACTTTTTTATCCACAACCCCTCCAACTCATGCAGGATATTTATGGAGGAGTGACTCAGTTGGCTGTTCAAATATTTAGGAGTGAAAGAATGTCTACAACCTTCAGAAGCTACACACACTTTGCAGTCAGGGGACAACAGGCTAACTATTTGCAGATGTCTGCTGTTCCGCTGGACAGAGATGTTTTCAAATAAATTAGTGTCAAAACATAACTTGGACACCATCCCTACACCGCCCGAGACTTGTCTTTTAATGGATAGTGGTCTCCCATGCATCCATCAATGACTATGTTTACTCTGAACGTCTTTGTTCCCCTTCATCATGTAACATGTTTTGTTAAGAGCTGAATGTTTGTTTGGCACTGAAGATACTCAGACCACAATGTGAATTTGAAAGCAGAAGACAAATGATCGTTTCCTTTTTTCTTTTTCTTTTTCCCCTCTCGACTCTGTTACTGTAGATGAGTCAGGCAGCGGTCAGCCAGAGGGGATGGACATGGTGGTGTGCAGAGCACCTGGGGGGGAATTCTATGTGGAGGGGGAGACCTGGAACCTGGACGAGTGCACGCGCTGCACCTGCAGGAAGGGACGTGTCCTGTGCGACACTGAAGTGTGTCCCCCGGCTCTCTGCCAGACACCAATCAGGAACAAGGACACCTGTTGCCACGTATGCCCAGGTAACATAAAAAAATAAATAAAAAAAAGACCAGGCTGTAGGAAAGAAGGGGTCTAATCATTTCAGGCTAACGAAGGGGTTGTCAGAAATTGGGGTAGTAGGAGGAGACATATAAAGTTGTTTTAATGTGCTATCAGCATGTGGCTTTGGAAGGTCTTGCATGTTGCGCTCTGTCGGGCAGTTTTATGTCAGGCACACAGGCTCATAAAGAAACCAGCCAAGACCGGTTGGGTTTACATAGTGATCCTCCAGGCAGGCTGCAGCACATGTGGACTGCTTTCACCCAGCGGCCCACAACGGAGGTTCGTCCAACTCTAAATTTTTGCAGGAAAGGCAAGAATGTAACTAATCTCGCCGCATCTGTGCCGTGCTCATAGATATGGGAATACACTCTGACACAAATGTCAAGGCAAACACAAAACCACACGCATATTTTATTTAGAACTGCACCCAAACACTCAGGTCTCTCTCATACACTTAAAAACAACATATCCCAAGCACTCCCAAGCATGAGGCCCACAAATCAGCAATGCATGACTGCGCTTGAGAGCTGCTCCTTGGGAATGCCGGCCGGCCTTATCGCTGCATCTCCCCTCACAAAAGCAGATTGTCAGAGGCCGGCCTTTGATATATGTATGGGCCTGGTCACCAGGAATGTGGAAATAAGACACATCTCACTGACAGGCCCTATGATATATGGGTACAGTAGGGTAGGGGGTGTGTGTACATGCTAATTAAGTCTTTGGTCATGAGAAAGGCCATAGATCTCAGGCCTGCGCAGATCTGATGAGAGAGTGAGATAAGGTCTGAGGCTGAGCTGACATCTGCCATATGGAGTCACTTATGTTTGTGTTTAGCATACAGTAAAGCATCCTAACTATAAAGGCCAAGTAACATTTGTGGATTGAGATGTTATACAGCAGGGTTGAATGCAGGAGTCATGTAGACTCAAGCATCTCCATGTAGTTATATGCAAGTCAGACTAAATTCGGTTTTTCCTTTTTGAATATGGTAACACTCTACATGTTAAACTGTAGTATTAGTTAGAAAATAGGCTGGAACACACCTCCATGTCTCAGCTTAACTTTTCATGACTAACCCTATTTCTGCCTGTGTGGTACCGCAGAGGAGACACTGAGCCCCTTGCTGCCAGTGAACAGCAGCCAGCAGGAGTACTGCATAACCAGCGATGGCGACGTGCTGCTGGCTGGAGACTCCTGGAAGGCGAACGCCTGCACCAGCTGCACCTGCAACAACGGCACCATTCAGTGTTTCTCTCAGCGCTGTCCGGCTGCCAACTGCAGGGTGCCCGTCTTACGCAAGGGCCAGTGCTGCCCACACTGTCTGGGTGAGTATTTTGGTGTGTCCCAGTAAAGAGAGCTGCTTTGTGCCAAAGTTTCCTTTGGACTCAAGTATTTTTATTGTTCTAAAAATAAATGAAAAATCGAGTTCTAAATGTGGATTTTTTTGCATACTATAATGTGGTTTATGTAACATCTCCACATACCAAGAAGAACTGTCGCAGCTGTGCAAAACTACCATTCTTATTCTTTATATAATAAATGGTACCAGTGGAACAAGGCACATGCCTGATGTTGGGAAAGTTATAATTCCTAATGCTACATGTCAAAAAGAGGGAGTAACTGAGAAAATGTCAGACTGAATGTGTGTGTATGTGTATGTGTTTGTTCATTAGACCTAGCCACTGTGGCGCTACATGGGCAAACATGACCATTCGTAACAACATTCCATGTGACATGCACACACAGTCCACTCAGAGTGAAAACATTCCTCGAGCATCCGCACATTCACACGTGTTTCCTGTCCCCGGCTGAATCAGCCTGCAACACTCTCTCTGTGGCGGCACAGGAAGGCAAAGCTCCGTGTCAGCTTTTCCTATAGAGGAAAACCTCAGCATAGGCTCCCATTGTTCACTCTGACATGAAGCCGTTTCCCCGGACCCTTTTGTTTTTGTTATTTTCCCCAGTGGAAAACAGAGCTTTTTACGTAATGCCTTCACAAAGCACTACAGTGGAAGTTAAGGGGACAGTTCCTATAAACACAGCTTATCAATTGAGACACCAGGGAGTTCATACACTAACTCACAGTGAGATATGTTTATACACCAGTCATACTGTTCATAGTCGTAATGGATCTAAATCCTGTCTAAACAGAAATTACAACGTCCGTGCCGGTGATGGTGTCTACCAATGCCCCCAAGACAACAGTTACTGCTACAGTGGAGAGTGCAGTGTGGATCACCACTGTCACTGTGCCCCCCATCATCGCTGAAACAGGTACCTGCTTATTAAATCACCACCTTAATTAATCACAACCTAGTGGGCCATCCCTCCACACAGAGGCCAGAGTGTACCCAGAGAGAACCCACGCAGGCACAGGGAGAACATGCAAACTCCACACAGAAAAGCCCTGGGTTCAAAGCCAGTACTTTCTCACTGTGAGGCAACAGTTCTCACCACTGAACAACAGTGCCGCCCCATAAATAAATGATGGTATAGCAAGACTTAAATACATCAAAGTATAGTAAAGCATAAAAACATCATGTAAGCATAAGGCATAAAAGTTATAAAAACGTCATAGTATACTAAGGCATAAAATGTCAGAAAAACTTCACAGTATAGTAAGGCCTTAAAAACATCATAGTATAGTAAGGCATAAAAAGTCATAAAAATTTTATTCTTTCATTCATTCAATCTTTATTAGGGACACAGCTCATGGGTGGGGGGGTCCATAGAAAAAACAACATACCAACAAACAACACAAAAAAACCATGAAATTTACTCCAAACAAGAGACATTCCACATTACTCAGACATTTGCATACAGGCTACAACGCCAGTGGTTCCACAATCTTGATTAGAATCTGATGATGCTGCATACAAATATTAGTATAGTAAGGCATAAAAAGTAAAAAAAAAAAAAAAGTCATAGGATAATAAGGCATAAAAATCACAAAAACGTCATCGTATAGTAAGACTTAAAAACGGCCTAGTAAAGTAAGACATAAAAAAGTCATAGTTTAGTAAGGCATAAATATCATAGTATAGTCTGACATTAAAAGTAAAAAAAAAAAAAAAGTCATAGGATAATAAGGCATAAAAATCACAAAAACGTCATCGTATAGTAAGACTTAAAAACGGCCTAGTAAAGTAAGACATAAAAAAGTCATAGTTTAGTAAGGCATAAATATCATAGTATAGTCTGACATTAAAAGTAAAAAAAAAAAAAAAGTCATAGGATAATAAGGCATAAAAATCACAAAAACGTCATAGTATAGTAAGACTTAAAAACGTCCTAGTAAAGTAAGACATAAAAAAGTCATAGTTTAGTAAGGCATAAATGTCATAGTATAGTATGACATTAAAAGTAAAAAAAAAAAGTCATACTATAATAAGGCATAAAAACATCATAGTATAGTAAGGCATTAAAAGTAAAA